ACTTTGCGATACCCGAAAAGAGTGTGCTTCCTGTATATCCAATATTATAGTATGACTGGTTGTTATAGAAAACCAATGTATCAATTAAGGGATAATTTTGATAATGCACGATACTTACACATTCGGACCGCGGAGGACATTGGTTAAGAGCTCTAATTTGGAAGCATCAACCTTCTCCAAGGGGTTGTAAGGGACATTTCCAGCCGCTATAACCACCTCTGAATCTTCAGCTCGTCCAGGAACATCCTCCACGAGGACTGTTGTTTCCTTAAAACCTTCCGGAAGGGCTTCATCCATCTCAACAATTATTTGCTTCTTCACTTTTTTGGGTACAACCGGCGTAGGAATTTTAAATGCTATTGCTTCGACTGCAGCATCGTTGTTTGGTTCATCCTGTAAAGAAGTATTATTGTAAACAGCATGATTAAACAAATTCAAAATGTAATGATAATATTTACTGAGAAGATACTCACAATATTTTCTACTGTACCAACTGTCGTGTCTGCTTCATCTAACCCTGGGTTTGAATCCTCTTGTTCTTCCACCCCGTCGACAATCCCCTGCTGCTCCAACACTCCCTTTTCAAATTAACGTGCAGAATTATTTAAATGTACGCATACAATCCTATGTACGTATGTTAATAACTGTGTATAATTTTAAACCAAACACGAGATTTTTACCTCCTTTACATTAGCTGCATCCACATCCATGGAGGCTTTCGTTGCCAACTCCTGTAACACCTGCATAATAGAAGATTATAAATTTAAACAAGCCTACACTATTTTATTTAAAAATATAGTTAGCTTACATTCCTAACTACTGCAAATGGTGAAGGGGGATCCCCTAGGGTGCCCTCAAGTACTGAGTCATCCACTTTACTCACTGCAACTACATTGGGTACATCTCCCGCATCAACCTGTGGCAGTAGTTATCAACTTTATCGGCTACATACTCTATTTTGTGATGTCTGAAACAATCATTACTTATACGTACACGGGAAATAAGAAAGACAAATGTACGTACACTTACACCGGGTTCCTCGGTGTGTTTATCTCTATCATTATCCTCAGAAATTTCTGGTTGCTCCCCAACATTTGCTTCACTCTCAAGACCGGCACCATGTTCTTCTCCCTGAAACAAATATACCATACACGTCTTAAGCTTTATGTGAGTACACATATGGAAAACTACATTTGACTATTAGCAGACCATATACCTGTCCAGATGTTGCAGGTAAACCTGATGGATTTTCTTCCATCTCTGTGTCAGCAGTTGGTTTTTCATATGTCCCTCGCTGTGTACCAACAACGACAGGCTCACTACCATCAATTGGTCCTTTATCCTAAAACATAGTATACCATACACTTCTTAAGCTATATGTACGTGGAGAACTGAAAATAATTGATACGCGTACACTTATGGAAAACAGTATGTGACTATTAGCACAAGACATACCTGTACAGAGGTTGAAGGTACAGGAGATGGAAGAAATTCCATCTCTGTGTCAGCACTAGCTTTTTCCTCGGTCCCTGACTGTGTACCAACAAGGAGAGACTCACCACCATCACGTGCTCCTTCATCCTGAAACATAGTATACCATACACTTCTGAAGCCTATGTGTACGTACACAACTGGAAATAATTGAAAAAAATATTTGTACACGACATACCTGATGGGAAGGTGTAGGTCCACCAACTGAAATGTTAGCTACTCCAGTGTCAACCATATCTTCATCTCTGTTCGAAAAATCTCCTCCATCATTTGCAGTAAAACCACCTTCATTGTTGGCTTCATCCTGTACCATAGCAGACAAGTTACAGTTATTAATATAAATGTACGTACATTTAAAATACTATATATAAATGTACGTACATGCCATACATGGTCATCTTCCTCAGAGGAAGAGTTACCATCAGAAAGCTGAGTAATCTCCGCAACTGACGTCATTATATTCTTCAGCCTTGAAGACTTTCTTGTTCCAGACTTGAATACTTTCTTTGTAGACATCTTTTTAGATGCCTTCTTCACACTCATCGGTGCCTTAACCACCGATTTATTTGGGCCCTGTGAAGCATGGGAAGTTTTGGTTGGTTCTGTCTTTTTGACCTTTGGATCTAAGGCAGCACGAATCTCCTTACGGACAAATTTCTTCAAGTCTTCTTGCATTTGTTTATTTTGTGCTTCCTGCCTCTTGAAACACCTCCTAAGTTCAACTACAAACTTCTCAAACTGGGGATCTTCAGAACAATCCTCAGCAGTGTCCTCATTTTCTTCTTCCACAACAGATTTCTGTTTTTTCAAAGAAGGTGCATTCGGGGCTGGTACATTTCTTTTCCTCTTCTTCACACCTACGATAGACCAGTTTAATCATTGATTGGTCTTCAAGGGACAATAATCAGAAAGTATAAAAACAACATTTACACTCACGTATCTCTCCAAGTTGTGGTGGGCGCTCCTGCTTTGGAAATGCAGCATTACCTCCAACCCATTCTTCCTCCTTCCACTCATGACCCGCTAACAACAGTCGCTCAATGTAAGCAACTCTTGGATCCTCAACTTCATCATCCCATGACAGGGATGGAGGACAAATATTGTCCTCTGGTTTCACAAGATAGGTTACCTCAACCTACACCAATAAGTTTGTTGACCACTTAGAGAATGTACACTTACTTTTTAAATAATGTACGTACATAAACAATTGTACATACCTCTTCAGCAGCCTCACACTCCAAGATGCTGGATGTCCTGATTGCCCGCAGTGAGGCAAGATGATGGATAGACCTCTGAGTAAATGTCCTGTTAGCTTCATCATCAGGTACTAGCTTAGCAAGGGATGGGATTGTTTCGAACGCAAACAGCTGGAGTGCTAATGGGAATCCATGTAGTGCATAAGACCCATCCTTTACACACCTTATCAGTTTTTGAGCATCTGAAGGGGTTTGGAATTTTGCTATCCTCTCCAAAGTACGGGTAAAAGACACCCTTCCCCAAGGGTATTTGCAGAAGAATTGCACGTCCTTCGTCATCTCAACAGTGAACTCAGAAGGCCTTATGGGGTTATTATGGCACCCTATCACACCATCTACCAAGATTATAAGAGATAAGGCCAGCTGCTTCCACCCATCCATGGTTTCCTCCTCCTTCAGTCAGACCACCAAATCATGCACTGTTGGATTCGGCTTCTCCCCAAACTTCTCCTCAAACAGAGTTTTCCAGACACTTTGACTACCAGCTTTAACCTTTAGCACATCCGTCACGTCTTTCTTGTTGGGATATGTCCCACATTCTAGACCAGTTACCAGACTAAATTCTCTTAATCCGAATTTTATTGGATGACCGCCGAAGACCATCCACATCTCATTCACTTTACTCGTCACTAACTGACGACATATTAGTCCAAGAACAAGTTTACCTGAGAAGGAAGACTTGTTAGCAGGTATCCTAAAAAGGTCCCCAAATGGAGACTCGAGAAGAAACTTCATCTCCTCTTTTCCCTTAAGAACTTGTGCTATGTCAGAAAGGTACTCCGGTTTGGAGTACGCGTTCATCTTCGTCTTCACAGGGTACCGGTCTAGGGCAAAGAGTCTAGGTGGTAACTCTTCAACTATAAGATCTTCAGTCGGAGCCACGCTTGTACTGCCTGCAATTACAAGTGATATACAATTAAGTACGGATGTATGAATTCGTGTACGTACACAGTAATTATCAACATTATATACTCAACATCTGAATTTTGGCGGAAACAGAGATTTCCAATTCAACTTCTCAAATTTTCAAACTACAGATATAGCAAAATCCGGCAACTTCTATCCCTTTAATCAAACAAGCTTTAAGATTCCGATACACCCAAAGAAACTACAAACGGAATAATATCGGAACTTACCCAATTCCTCCGGCGGATTTCTCGGAGGGAGTTTCCTCCTCGGGGATACTCTGAGTTCCACCTTGTCCTTCTCGGGGCCTTCCTGCGTATGCTTCTTCCTAGAGACTACGTCGTTTGGTTTATTCCCAGCCATCTCGAAGGTTGGTATCTCGCCGGAATTCTCAGGTCGCCTTCGCCGGAAAAACTGGAACTTTCTCTTCGCCGGTTTTTCGAGTTCAATGCAATGCCTCAAATCAAGTAGCAGACAATTCGAACGGAGATGTCGAAAACGAAGATGGATGAATGAATTCCGAACTGATTTCTACTTCTCTCTCGAATCTCTCGGAGATGTCGAACGAAGATGATGAATTCTTCGTTTTCTTGAATTTTTTTTTTTTTTTTTTCAAAACAAAAAGTAACTAAACCGCTAGAAACTAAACCGTAACGTAACTGTGCCGTTTGGTTTTTCGTCAAGGGCATTTTCGTCATAAAATGGAATAATTGCCAAAACATGAGAAATGAATCTCACTTTGCCAAAAGGTGAGATCAAATCTTTTTTTTATGTCAAACGTGAAAATTTCTTTTATTTTTATTATGCAGTCTCTTTTATGATTGGTTGAACTTTTAAAAAGTAGATCTTCTTAATCGGCGTGCTTTTAGCTAAAACGCTTTATATTTTGAAACGGAGGGAGTATATATTAAAAATGAAAATATTTAATTTTGTTTTTTAAAATTTAGTTAAAGTATAGAATTTTTTCTCATAAATTTATGTTTTGATTGAATCCCTAAATTTGGTTATCAATTAAAATTAGTAATAATTATTCAATCATAAAAAAAAATTAATAAAACAAAATATTCAAATGATTTACATAAGTTTATGGTTATTAATCAACACCCATATTTACATCAATGTTAAATGTTTTCGACACCCAAGTGTTTTAATGAATCTAGTAGAAAATAAAAAGAATCAACCCCTAGTTATTTTTATATACGGCTTCTCACTAAATAGTTTATGTCGAGATTAAAGATAACTAAATTTGGTAATCTCTTAAACCAATAAACCAATATTGTAACTAAACAAAAAGAAATTCATAGTTTGATTTTTGGTTGTTTTTGTTTTACTAATGGGCTAGAAGAAGTTCATTAATAAATGTCCAATTATTTATTGATTACTGTGCTTTAAGAAATGTGATTAGGTGTTTTGCAGCCAAAGCTGTTATGGCTTTAGCAAAGCTTCTTTGTCAAGGCATAGTGGTGATGTTGATAGATGAAAAGTGAAAACACAAGCTCTGATCCTCAAGTGGGTCACTTGAGTTATAGTAAAAAAATGGGTTGTAATTAAAATGAAAAGATGATCAAATTTATTAATTTCTCGTATTTCATTATACTATTTGTTTATTATTATGGAATCACAAAGACCAACTCCTAAACAAAGAGAATTAAAGGGAGTACTACAACTCCTCTAAACAAAGGAAAACATAAAACGTACGTGGATTTTGTTGTATAGTAACACAAAAACCACTCTTATTTGTTGTATAGAAATTTAGAAAACGTATACTTTGATCCTAGTATAGGAGGGACACAATAAAAAAGAGAGTCTTATTTGTCGCAGTTAGGTTCACATTTGTGAGATGTACTGGCCTCACCTTGACTTCTCTTAGCTTCCTCAGAAGTATCACGAGCCTGACTCATTCTTTCACTAGCACAATCTTCAGCATCCTTGAGATACACGTCTCTTAAATCTTTATCGATCACGGCTATAAATCCCTGACAGAAATTTCTCACTTCCGCAGGTACTGAAGAAGGAATCTTCTGGGTGATGTGATTCACAATTTCAGCCTCAGTGTAACAGTTTCTAAAACAGAACATGTACTCATCCATGATTTTTTTTACTTCTTCGTCGTCTTTAGTTTCCTGAACCGCCTTCATAGCTGTGAGCTGTTGCTGAATAACCTTGAGAGTTTCTGGTCTCATCTACAATCACACCAACAAAATTGATTATCAAGATGAATTTGATTATCTTAGGATCAAAAACAAGATTATTAAAACTGAGACAGGAATCAAAACCTGACAAAGTGAGAGTAAAGCATTATACAAAACAATAGTTTATCCATATTTCAGACATTATCCCAAATGCCCTAAAAAAAATCTCTTTGCAGATCACAAGAATTACGAAAACGTGTTCATTTCAAAGACTCACATTCAAGAAATAAAAAATGATCAAGACTGAAATCAAAAAACAGCAAAATTTGAAAAATCAGGACAAGACCCATAATGCAAGAAACAGCTGATCGGACATGATATCAACTTAAAAATGGTACCTTTTGATTGAAGAAAAAAGTATAAGAAAGAGAGAAATGGAACGAGGGATGTGTTTAATATTTGCTATGTTTTTTTCAAAGATCAACTAAAAACCGTACCTTTGATTGAAGAAAAACACACGGAAATGTATAGGAAAGAGAGCAATGAAACGAAGATTGAAGGTAAGAGTATGATGTGTTTAGTACTTGCTTTGTTCTTTTATAGGCAAAACTTCATGACCCATTACGCAAGAAACAAAGATCAGCCCTGGAATCCACTAAAAAAGTAGCTTGGAAATGTGTAGGAAAGAGCAATGAAACAAAGGTTTTGAGTAATGTGACGATGTGTTTAGTACTCACTTTGCTTTATAGGCAAAATCGGCAATGGCATTGTGTTCACGTCTCTTTAATTTGCTAATTGAGTTAAGGGTTAGTTGGAACTAGGAAAATATATTTACAAAAAAATAATCAACCTTCCACTAAAGTACCTATCCAAATTTCCCAACGTTGAAAAACCAAGAGAAACTAACAGAAAGAGAGGGAATCTCACATCATCATCACAAACTCATCACTTGTTTGTAATCTTTTTTTTTATATTAGTGTTGGTTTTAATCTAAATTAAATATATATCTCGGATGCAGTGCCGGTTATTGGCGTGTGCAAGTGGTGCATTTGCACCGGGTCCAACAAATTTAAGGTCCAAATTCATAGTTTTTCTATTATTTAACTATTTAATTATGCTGAAATTTTATAAAATATCTATATGTAAAGGTCCCAAAATTCTATTTTAAAAGGTAATATTGAGGCCCAAAATTAATAAACAAAAATAACAGGTCCAAATAGCTATAAAATACAAAATAATTTATGAAATATAACTTTTTGTAAATATATATATATATAAATTTTTTATTAAAGATAGGATTTTTTTTGTATGGCACCGGGTCTTACCGATGAGTGAACCGGGCATGCTCGGATGTTGCTACAAAACATCAACTGTTTTTACTGTCAGGATAATTATTATATTCGTTGGTTAATCACAATTTATTGATATGTATGCAGTGCAATTGTTCCTTGCTCATAATTTTCCCCATATAAAAATATCATCCATATATATAGTTTTTTTTTTTTGAAAAACTTAATAGAATATATTACATTATCGAAATCATGAATATAATCCAAATTACAAAAATATATGTAAACCGTTTATGCATGTATATATACCACCTGACCTATTTATGTTTACTCAAAATTAAATTAGTCAAGAAGATCCAGAGTCACTAACTAATACTTATCTTTGTACATAAACATAACACACAAGATTGGGTTCCATAAGAACTTGGCGAAAAGAAAACACAGGCTCCTCAAGTGGGTCTCTTGAGTTGTAATTTACGAATAAAATGAAAGGATAGATAAAATTATTTTTGGTTTTTCATTATACTATTTTTATTAGTGAATCACAAAGACATTGGAGTACAACTCCTAAACAAAGGGAAACATAAACATGGATTTTGTTGTATAGGAACACAAAAACCACTCTTATTTAGACAACAACGTATTCTTTGAATAGTACTATTAATGTTTTTTGAATTTGGGATAACGCTTCTTGCAGTTAGGTTTACATATGTGAGATGTACTGGCCTCACCTTGACTGTTCTTAGCTTCCTCAGAAGTATCACGCATCAGTTTCCTTCTATGAAACGAACAATCTTCAGCGTCCTTGAGATACGCCTTTTTTGGCTCTTTACCTGTCGCCGATAACAACAATTTAAAGAACTTTCTCACATCCGCAGGTACTGAAGAAGGAAACTTATTGCTCATGTGATTCACAGTTTCATCCTCAGTGTAGCAGTTTCTGAAACAGAACATGTACTCATCGAAGAACCCTTTTTCATATTTGTCGTCAGCAATTCCATTAGCCGCCTCCATAGCCTTGAGTATTTTCTGAATAGCCTCGAGAATTCCTGCCGGTCTCATCTACAATGACACCAACAAAATTGATTATCAAGATGAATTGATAATTCTAGAGAGAACAAATGATCAACCATGCATGATAATTGATTTATCTTAGGATCAAATTAAACACAAGATTATTAAAACTGAGACTAAAGTGAGAGTAAAGCATTGTACAAAACAAAATTTTATATATCTTATATTATCCCAAATGCCCTCAGAAAAATCTCTTGCAGATCTCAAGAATTAAGAAAACGTGTTTGACATTAAGAAAATGAAAGAAAAAAAAAAAAGAGATCAAAAACCGAAATCAAAAAGCAACAAAATTTGAAAAGTCAGGACAAGACCCACAATGCAAGAAACAACGATCGGAACTGGAGATCAACTAAAAAATGGTACCTAGAATGTGTTAGTTTTTGCTCTGTTTTTTCAAGACCTATTAATTCAAGACACAAAGATCAGACAAGCGATCAACTAAAAACTTACCTTTGATTGAAGAAAAACACACGGAAATATATAGGAAAGAGAGGAATGAAACAAGGATTGTGATTAAGAATAGGATGTGTAATGTGTTTAGTACTGTACTTGCTCTGTTATTTTATAGGCAAAACTTCAAGACCCATTACGCAAGATACAAAGATCAGACCTGGGATCCACTAAAAAAATACCTTTGATTGACACGAAATGTGTAGGAAAGAGAGCAATGAAACGAGGATTTGAGTAATCTGACGATGTGTTTAGTACTCGCTTTGCTTTATAAGCAAAATCGGCAATGGCATTGTGTTCACGTCTCTCTAATTTGCTTATTGAGTTAAGGGTTAGTTGGAACTAGGGAAGTTTATTTACAAAAAAAATAATCAACATTTCCACTAAAGTATCTACCCAAATTTGCAACGTTGAAAAACCATAAAGAAACAAAAAGAGAATCTCAAAGCATAACAAACTCATCACTTGTTATAATCTTTCTTTGTTAGTGTTGCTTTTAATCTAAAATATCTTGAATGTTATTACAAAACATCAACTGTTTTTATTGTCACGAAAATTATTATATTAGTTGGTTAATTGCAATTTCTTGAGAAGGTTAGTCTATATGACACTAGAAACATTGTCGCAATTTAATGTGCATTACGAGATTCGGTACTGTTTATCTTGTGTATATAATCAAAATTACAAATACATAAATCTCATAGTTTTACCCAAATAAATTACAAATCAATATGCAGAAGAAAAAATTTGAGAAAATAATAAATAAATAGTCGTGTGACACAAGCAAAATCAAGGAGAGCTAGTATCACCACCAAATGAATGTAAAAGAATTTTAGAACTGACCAAACAAAAGCGTTTTTGAGTATCTAGCTCCAACGTGTTTAGCTGAATCCAACGGTTTTCTTCACTTATGTAGCCCTTTCGCGAACCGAAGGAGCTCTGCTCGAACCTTTATCGAGAGAAACTTTTCGAGATGCAGTCATGGCTGATCTCTCTGCGATTCTTCTTTGCCTTTCCATTACAAGATTCTCTATTCTCTTCCGCATCTCTTCTTCCTACAATCCCAAAGCAAGAAACTAATTCAATTATCCGATAAAAACCGCTAAAGAAAATGCGATTATAAGATTTGTTCCTTACCTTTTCAAACTTGTTCTTCTGTGCCATTGTTCTGCTAGCTACTGTCGGTTTCTTTGCAGTCTTGGACATTGTTTCCGCTCTGGTTCTACTTGGAGTTCTAGACTTACGAGTTTCCGGGTTCTTCACAATGTTTTTCTTCTCGCCGCTTGAGACGGTCTTATCTTCTTTCTCCTGCGTTGTTCCGTTACTGGATAGCCTTGCATTTGCTTCAGCAGAGAAATCGATTGAATAATCATTAGCCAAAGAGTCTCCTGAATTGCGTTCAGGAATCATACAAAGATCATTTGGTTCCCATGAATCGTGTTTTTCAATAGCATGACCGTTGTCAATATCAGAGGCTAAAGCAATATCAGCAGCCATGTCTGGTCTCCACCGAGAGTCATAAAGATCATCAGCAGCAAGCGATGATGAATGGACCATGAAAGAATCATCAACAAATTCTTGTTTCTTGCTCTTATCAGAACCTTGAGATGTCAAAATGCTGTCATCAAATGACATTCTCCCGTAGTTAACTTCCGGTTTCCCAGCACGATTACCAGAAGCAGTAAACCAATCCTCTCCACTCCCTGACTTCTTCACCAACGATTCACCCCTTGTAGCATTATACATGTCTTTGCTTTCATCTCCTAACATTTCTGATCTTTTAAGCAGTAACATACATTCTTCAGTCGAGTCCCTCGTTCTTGGAAGCCTACGAGCACTATCCTCACTTTCAAAATGATCAAAGCTCGCTCCTCCTCCATTTTCGAAGTATTTCTGAGTTGTGATGATGGAATCACCTGAGGCAGTGTTCTTTGTTTGCAAGCCGTTAGAATTCACACCCACACTAGAGCCTCTACGGGTGAAATGCTCCTCATTGACGACATCCATCGAATGCACATCTGAGCCATCATCGTGCCTCATTAGAATATTCTGAAATGAATCCCAATTCTCGTTGCTTCGTTTTTCTTCACCAGAGACTTCTCCCTCATTAGCTCTTTTTTCGTTGAGCATTCCAACAGCAGCATCTACAGTCTCTTTGATGGAACCGTTGTCCGTAAACTCATTTCCCTCCATGTCTCCATTTCTTCCCTCGGGGGTTATGTAGTTAATATTACGGATGATAACAGTTTTAGATGACTTCTTCCGGTTTTTCTTTGATCGACGAGAGTTTTTACTCGTACGAGAGTGTCTTTTACCTTGATCTTCCAAAGATGAAGCAGAATCATCGCTGGCCGAGTCAGATTCACTATATTCACTTGACCCGCTAGACTCATCTCCATCAGAATCCCCTTTCCCTTTTTTCTTGGAAGGTTTGCCCCTTGAAGGCCATGGCATGTTTCCTTGGTTTTGATTTGGCATATGTTGCATAGGAGGGTATGGATAGCCTTGGTACGGAGGCGGGTAGAAGTATTGAGGCATATGGTTCGGCCATCCCATTGGTGCTTGAAAGTTTGGAACACCGGACGGATGTTGCTCTAAATTAACTGACTTTTCATCTACAAATCAAAACTTCTTCCCATTAGATATGGACATATTTAGCCATCTAGCAGTGAAAGAATCAGAATCTCTGAGATGAAATACTACTAGGTAGTTTTATTTTCCGAACCTGTATTAGATGGTGTTGACTCGGTCCCATTTAGTGATAGAGCAGCACCTTCATTGTTGAGGATGATCCCTGAGGAACCCAATAATGACATGTCCACTGGAGCACACGCTTTCACAGCTGCTAATTCTGCCATCCAAAGCCCGTCTCCATGCTTCTTCTTCCATAGTTCTTTATATTTTACACATGCTTCCCTGTGTAATTGATCTCATGCATTTTAGCAAATCAAATGGAAGAAGATTGATGAAATGGTTAATAAATATTTGCATACCTTAACCTTGACGCACCAAAAGCATCAGCAAACAATATGAGATCATCAATACTATCAATTTCATAACCAGCAACAACCCCTCGTGCATACGCCATCGCTTGCTCTCTTCGAAGCAATGTTCTTCTAGTTTCAAGAAGACGTTGAAGTTGAATCCTAATAAATAAAACAAACACAAAAACAAAATTAGTCAAACCAAACATTCACCATTGGTTGCATAACGCACCAAAAGAAATGTATATAGTTCCATAGGTGGTTAGAAGCGTTACTTGGAGGTTTCCTCCCCTGCAACCTCACTGCCATTCTCAGATTCCTTCTGTGTAATACATTGAGAGAAAAAAACACTCAATTGACCAAACCAATTCCTAAAATAACACAGTACCACTTGAAAGCGCGCACGAGTTACCTTAGAGGACTCATTCGACTTCCTTAGATTACTACTAACTCCAGAATTACTCCCTGCAAATGATAAACAAATCAAATTGTAGGATTCTGTTACATTACAATGTAGGTTTTAGTAAGTTAATATCTACGCGTACGAAAATGTAATACCGTCTTGTAATTGCAGAGGATCAGCAGCAGCATTGGCAATTTCATTAGCTTGAATAGAATTCTCAATCTGCAAAATCTCTTTCTCCAAAGTCGCAAATCTTTCGATAATCGCAGGCGTGTTTACGAATCTCACAAAACTACAAATTAAAGAAACTTAATCAACAAACTCATCAACAACACCAGATTTTTCTACTCGAATGATCATAATCGAAATCTGAATTTGGAAATTGTCAACAAAATCGAATCATGAAATAGAAATTACCGATCGAAAGTGGATTTGGTGAACCAAGAAGAGTGAGAAGAAGGAGGAGTCAGAGAGATAGAGTAACCGCCTTTAGAGATCTGATCTCTAGCGAATTTAAGATGGGAGACGAATGGTTCGAAAATTCCAGAAGCTAACTTCTCCTTCTTACTCCCACAGAAAAGCACCAGATCGAATCTTCAACACAAAAATCAAAACACAATTCAACAAAAGAAAGAAAGATGAATCAATCAAAATGAGAAGTGAGACCTAGTGCGAGTAGGAGTGAGTTGAAACAAAGCGGAATCGAGTATAGCTCTAGAATCCATGGTGGTGGCTACGTAGAGAGAATAATTAGTGATGTCTTCTTCGAAGGAAGAAGAAGATAAAGGCAGAGACGTGAAGGAGACATATTGACTTTTTTTTTTTTTTTTTGTGTGGATTCGAAGCTTTCGGTGACAGCAAAGGATGAGTTAAGGTCGGCACATGGTTGGGTTCACATTAGTGACTGACCAATACTATTATTTAGTGGTCCCACTCTATTATGTTTTATGCTCATCCTCGTCGTCGATTTTTTAATTATTTTTTTTCCTAATCGATCCATCTTCTTATAATCAAAGAAGAAATTATTTTTTTTCCTAATCGATCCATCTTCTTATAGACATTTGAAAGAAAAAAAAATCAAACAACATAACAAAGTACCGTTTAGGGAAAGTGGTGTAAGCCCACCTCAACGGGCAGAAGTTATTCCTAATTGGCGTTAAATAGGTGAGTAGGTCCACCGACGGAACTCTACGGAATTCTTCATGACATTCTCCTTCTTTCATTTGAGTTTGTCGATGTTAGGTTTTTCTCTATCCTACGATGTGAGAATCGTTTAGTGGATGCTTTAGCAAAAGCTAGGTTTGTATCTCTTTCGTCCTAATTGTACCTGGTTCCATCCGGTTTACTATTTTAATTTAATGAAATTAGTATTTCGCATAAAAAAAATGTGAGTAGGTCTATACTAGAAAGAAAAAGACATATGAGAGACGGATGGCTACGACAAGAATGATTTAGGGAACTTTGGGCTATGAGTTTTGGATTGGGAAATTGTTTTGTTATGGAAATAAATTTTGATTTTAGTTAGTTGAAAAAAATTGCAAGCTAGTGAGAATAAAAATATCCTAAGAAATTTAGAATGATCGAGAAATTGATCAATGTATATATTGAAAAGTTATGCAAAATGTGTGATTTTTTAAATGAGAATCGAAAAAAATTTAGGTACAAGAGGTTTAATTTTGATATAGAGTGAATTATATATATATATATATATATATATATATATATATATATATATATATATATATATGAATTTGGAATTCGTTTGAAATGTAATATTTATTTTAAATTCAGAATGCATTAGGAAGGATATGAAAACTTTGCTTATTGTATTTGTGGAAATTTGATCACTCGAGATATCATGAGAAATTGTCACTATGTTCATTGAATTGTGTTTTCACTCAAGTATAGTTGACTAGCTAATCTTTCTTTTTTTAATGTTAAATTGACTAATCAACAAAAATAAATATTACAAGAGTTTGGGATTAATTGGAAACTTTAAAACCTGTTTAAAAAAGGAGGAAACTGAGATAATGGAAATGAGACAAACATTTCAGGAGCTTACATTTTGTTTCTTTTTGAAATTTCTTTATCTATGATTATAGGTTACAAAATAAATCACTCTATGACAAAAGAATAACACAATTAATTAACTTCTTACAAGAATGAAGTTAGTCGAAATAATGAGTAGTTAAAATTCACAAAGTACTTAAGTACCATCAATTAAATTAAAATAGAATATAGGAGAATAAGCGTGTTTTTTCACATTCATATATTCTATTTTAATTAATTGACGGTAATTATCTGCTTGTACGTGGTGTTGATGCTCTTTAATTAATCTCCTTTCTTCAACTTCTAACAAGTTCTTCGTGACTGCATCCGATGCCATGGTCAAGAACTCTGACCAGTCTCTGAACAATAGAAAACTAATTTTAGACACAATCACATTTACATTACCAAATAATAATTTCAGAGATATAAGCTTGTAGTTATCTTTTAGTTAGCGTATATTTATTTGTTAACCATCAGATGAAAACATAATCAAATTAATTCTTTACTAATCATAGATTTGTCTACTCTATAAATAAAATAACAAGATTCCAATGGATATAGAACCTAAACATAAAACTATAAAAGTGAATCATCACCATTTGAAGCAAAAAAAACTCTAAATGCTACCAAAAATCTGACCATAAAATATAGCCGCAAAATAGAGTCACGGTTCATTCTTTAAATATGTGAATCTTAAAACAAAAAGACTAATTGGCAAAATAGAGTCACGGTCCATTCTATATATATATATATCAGTGATGTGAGTATTTTTTTTCTACCATTTTACTTTTTAGTTATGAGAAATTTTGAGTTTTTTCATATATATATTTTCAGTAACATTTTATCTTTTTATGTCTGTCTAATTTATCAAGGAAGCTTCATATATTTGTATATTTAGGGTTTATGTTTAGATTTGTTAGGGTGCCATGTAATAAATAGCATTTTTGAGTGAGAATGTAATAAATAGACATTTACATTAAGAAAAACATGTTATAAAATATACACGTGTAAAATCGAAAAAAAAAATAACTCTTTGAGTGCATGCAATAAATCAAATAAATGCTATAGTTATTTTTATTTTTTGTCAGTGACCTAATTTGCTCAATTAAAAACCGTGTTTTGACTGTTTCTAATGTTGTATTTTCTAATTGAATATTATAACGCTTCAATGAGAGCATCTTTCAAGTGCTTTCATGAACTTATTTGGCATGGCAAATATCAAATGTCGACGTATTTTTTCATTAATATATGTGTATTTCTATATTGCGTGTATGATTTATAACAAATTCGTAAAAGAATCTGTAATAAAAACTCTTTAGCAAAACAAAACCTGTAATCATAATAAAACATTCGAATGTTTCATAAAATAAAATGCTATGTTTTTCTTTTAAGCTATCCTAATATTGCTATGTTTTTCATTTAAGCTGTCCTAATATTTTAATATTTAAAAATAAACTATATATATATATATATATATATATATATATTGCATTCACATGGTTAATAATCATAAATGAACATTTATACGGGAAAAAAGAAGAGCATACCCATTAGATGTATCAAACGTGAGTCCTACGGTATATTTTGCTTCCTCGAGAGCCAATTGAAACCTCCGGATCTCGGCAGCTGGACGTGTCCTGTCATCTTTTATGCAGAGTTCCGATGGCTTGACATCGCAAAATATAGGGATGACTCTTTTCTTGTTCTCCATGAGCAATGTGAGTTCGTGGAGACAGAAGTAAGAGTCACAGTAACGAGGAGAGAAAACCGCAATACCAACCCCGCATGCTTTGATTGCCATATCGATCTCGACGAAAAGCCTATCCCCAGGCTTTAAACTCTTACTATCCAAGAAAGCAGTCAAACGTTGTCTAGTAAAATGATCATATAATAGGCCTGAAATAGTCTTCTTGGTATCGATCCCACGATGATTGATGAAAATATCACATGGGTTTGGGTAAGGTAGGGTTGGATTTGCTATGTATCTCGTTGTGTATGCGAGTTTTGAGCAAGGTGCTAACAAACGTTGCATTGAACAATTTTTAATTGACAAGGAAGAAATGAAATGATTGTATCAAGCGAAAGAGTGATAAAAAAATGAAGACTGGTTTCAATACCTTTTCGATAATCTCTTTTAGTATTGTGGAAGAAGATATTGTTTTAGATTGGGAAGAAATAGGTAGGTGTCTCTATATTTATAAGTGAATAAAGTCCGAGATCTCCATATCGGATATTGGAGATTTTGTCACTTCGTTTTTGTAAATATTCAAAATTGTGATTCTTCTCGCGCTAATACTCAAGGAAGAATTCAAACTTCTTTTTCTAACATTTGGACTTCAAGAACATACTTAGTGTCTATTTGAAAATACTTCAAGAAACGAGTGAATTTATTCTTATCTTTGACTTGCAAGCATTTTTGTCTTTTCTCCTATAGTTTGAAGAAAATATATATAAAAAAAAACCTTCAAAGACGTACATATACTTTATATCAAAAACTATTTCTTAGTTATATTTACGTCAAAAGGTATTTATTACTTTTCCTTGGTTCTTTTTTATACTAAAACCCGTTGAAAAAGGTAGTAAAAGTGAAAAAACATCCTTTGAAACGGTCCCCATCCCAAAAAGTAGATAGTAAAAGCCACGTAAATGTACTAAGAAATGATCAACCGTATCTAGAATAAAAATTATAAAATCAAAATAATTCATTAAAATAGAAATAATATTCAAATTAATTGCATATAAAACTTAATGTCTTAGAACTAACTTTTTTTTTAAAATGTTTTGATGTTTAAATTTATTTATTCTTGTGTGACAATTTGTATTATACTGTATTTTTGTTTTTTACTACTCGTTAATTTTTTTGAATGAGATATTAGTTTGAATTTAAAATGTTGGGTGATTTAGGTGAATAACCCAAAAAAAAAAGAAAATTTAGTTTTTTAGAAGGAAGGTAGAAAGAGATAGGAAGAGAAAGAGAGTGAATAGGGGGGTTAGAGGTTAGATATTTAATTTTGTTTTTTTTTTAGGTTATCTAGTGCAATTTCTCTAAAATGTTTTTGATTAACAAAACCAAAAACATGATATGAACATGTATGATTGCTTGATTGTAGTATTGTAATTGCCGGGCACCTATGGATCGGAATATTTTGATGGAATCCCTTTATAACATAAGGAACAAAGATGGCAAAATATTTTAGCGAAGAATGTTCGAGATGTCGGAGCTGGGAAGTAATCCGAACCACAACCCTGTGGAATATGAGTCTCCTCGAGTACTCTCATGGAACTGTTGAAAGAAGAAGAGTTTTGAGAGTTTGCTAACATAGTGTCAAAAAGAAATATCACAAATTCACAATGAAGAGGGTGAAGAAGAAATATCTCAAAAATCTAATGATTATAAGCCTAAGGCTCTAAATGGTAACATAATTTTTGAGGAATTTTTGTGAAAAAAAAAATGGTTATATCAGTTGAATGTTGGAGAAATTGTTGAGGAATACTGTTTTAAGATAAAGCACTACAAAAAAAAGCGAATATTAATAGCACAGAAAAATAGCGATTTATTTGTTTTTGCTATAATTGACTTATGCATGATTTTATCATAGCGTTTTTAAAATAAGAAACGCTATAATATGTTGGACGGAACAAATAATATACATGTGCTTAATTTTTGATTCTCCAATTACTTTTTAATAGCACAAAAAAATCATAAAACGTTATCATAAATTAGCCGCGAAAATAAAAGTTTCATTGTTCACCCAAATAATTAAAAAATTAAACTAAAATTAATGGGTTAGTAAATAACATTAATTTGACCTAATCGCTTAAAGGTTCTTCCATTTTAACCTCTTCTTTCACTCTACCTTCTATCATACACACAGTTTCATCTTCTTCTCCGAGAAACATAATAACAAAAATTTTCCCAAATCCAGTGACCTAGTCGCTACTCTCCCATGCATGCACTAGCTCTCATTCTCTTCCCGGCGCAACAATCCAGATCCAGATCCTCAAATTCACACATATCAGCCATCTCGCCGTCGCAATCTCCTTTGTCTTCGTCGTCTCCACTTATACATATCTAATTCTCGATGTTCTCCAGTTTCATTTGTTAGATCTGTAAGGTAAATGAGGTAATTCATACATAGATCTAATAGTTCTACTGAGACATGATATGAAATCTGCTTGCGCTAACCCCGTTCGGAATGTTTATAGCCCGTGGCTAAATCTTTTCATGCTTTAGTTTTTATAGATCTGCTTCTTTTTGTGCTCTGACTCCATTTTCGATTGTTTTTATAAAGTTTTTGTTTAAAAGTTTATGAGATCTTTGCCTTATCTTGGTTCATTGTATCAACTTGCTATTTCGATTTATGTTATGGAATTCTGTCACTAATTTTTTTTGCTAAGAATAGACTACAATTTGTTTGCCTGTTTTAATTGTTAAAGTTTTATGGTTTATTATCTTCGAATTTGAGAGGTTTTAACTAAATTTTGTCTATGTTTCAGTAGAAACTCATCAGGAAGAACAAATCAATGGCCAAAAGAAATTTAGGTGAAATCAGATGTGTTGCTGAGTATGGCTTCTAGACTTAGCAAATCAGTAGTGTTTTACTACATTGGTGCCATGTCTATTGGGATTATCATTCTTCTAACTCGTTATCATTAAACAGGTAAAAGTTTTCAAAACAATACCAAATATTTTTGCTTATACTTCTCATGACTTCTCTATGGTTAACGCTAACGCTGTAAGTGATTGTAATCAGGGGATAACGCCTCTCCCAGCTGGAGGGAAGAGTCGCCTTGACTTATTTTTTTCAACAAGAACTTGAAGAATGTGAAAGTGATGAAGTAAATAGACTTTAGATCCAAGGATATGATGTCCTCTCTATCATGTTTGCGTGTTGATGATGAAGGAGAAGAAGTTTCAAAGTTTGGAGGTCCAATGAGTGTGAAGAATTCACGAAATTTTAAATACAAGAGTTGTATGAAACTATCTTTTAATTTGTATTTTTATTTGGTAATATATATGTCTTTTATATCATGTTTTCATATAAATATGTCATTTATATATTCATTATGGTGGGGGTGGAAATGGCGTTGCGGGAATATTTTTGGAGTGAATGGGAAGTGCAGAGACAGGGTGCAATTTTTAAAAAACCTGGCTAAGGAAGTGAACCAAGCTCATTTGAATGGAGAAGGTGTGGGCCGAGGGCAAACAGTAAGGGTGGAGAGACTTATATCCTGGGCTAAACCGAATGTTGGGTGGCTTAAATTGAATACTGACGGAGCGTCGAGAGGGAACCCCGGGCTGGCATCAGCGGGTGGAGTCTTGCGGAATGAGGAGGGAGATTGGTGGGGTGGATTTGCGCTAAATATTGGTATATGCACCGCCCCATTAGCGAAACTTTGGGGAGTTTATTACGGTTTGTACATTGCATGGGAGAGAGGAGTCCCGAGGCTTGAAGTTGAGGTGGACTCGGAGATTGTAGTAGGATTTCTAACGACAGGGATTAGTGATACTCATCCGCTGTCTTTCATGGTGCGTTTGTGCCATGGCTTTTTATCGAAGGACTGGACTGTCCGGATTTCTCACGTGTATAGGGAGGCAAACCGTCTTGCTGACGGTTTGGCGAACTATGCATTTACACGTCCGCTAGGTTTTCATTTGTTTGAGACCTTCCCGGATGATGTTCGTGTTATTCTTTTGGAGGATGTAGACGGTGCTGCGCACCCGAGAAGTGTTCGTTTGTAATTTTTTATTTTTGTTTGAATAAAGAGGGGAGACTATTGTCTCCTCCAACCTACCAAAAAAAAAAAATGTCATTTATATTATTTTTAAATTGTCAAATTATCCAAAAATTAAAAAAGAAAATACATGGAACAATTATAGGAATTGTTACATAAATAAAAAAAATAATTGCATATTGTAAACGTTATTTAAGTAGAAAAAATTGCGAGATAAAACTGCTATTATAATAGTAAAAGTAACAGTAAAACAACGTTGTTATTAGATAATTAATAACAAAATATACTCGTTATCAAAGCATATAACATTGCATAAAAAATATAGCAATACAAAAAAACGCTATCGGAAGCCGTCGACCTATTATCATGGGCGCAGATATAGCGCTTTCTACTATGTTATCGTCTCATTAGATAGCGTTATTCGACCGCTAAGAATACTCAATTTTCCTGTAGTGAAGATTAGGAAAGTGGTCCCACCACAGTTATCTTTTCATTTGGTTTGGGTTTTGGACGAGACTTTATATTTTTGAGAAGGTAAGTAATCTATGTTTTTACCAAAACAAAATGTTAATGAACTAGGATTTAACCTGCGGTACACCGCGGGGCAAAATTGTATTTTATGTATTTTATATAATAATTTATAATTTATTGGATTTTTAAATTGATATTAAATAAAAAAATTTCATTTAATTCGACTAAATGGTAATAACTGAATAACTAAATGGTAATAAAATTTTATTACCACTTAGTAATAGATATTACCATTTACATATTCAGTTATTCAGCCAGATTTAGCTAAAAATCACAATAAAATTCAGTCAAATTCAGCAATTCAGCCGAATTCAGCGGTTACCATTTACACCCTAGAATTACCTCTAATGTTACCCTTAATTCTATCACCCAAACTCTAAGAGTTAGACTCAAACGGCAGGCCCATGATCCTTTTATTAAAATTCCTTTGAGGCCTTAGCATGGCATGCATGCCTAAGGGCCTACTACTTCAGGATGAGGTCCACTAGACTCTAAGCATACATCAAGGTGAGCCCATGTCTTATTATACCACGTCCTAGTGAGGTCCACCGAAATGTAACAAAAACATCCTAGTAAACACCACTGATAAAGTCACCTCACCATGTCTCTTGAACAAACTCCCTTCGACGACGAAGAATCTTCGTACACGTACTTGTGTAGTCTGCATGCAACGAGTCAATTCCTAAAAATATCATCAATAATTTGAAACTCTTGATTATTGATGATATTACTAACTTGGAAAATTATGCTAGTACACAAAATTTATACATGAAAAAAAAATGATTATATTCATGCATGTAATCGTAACTTCTCAGTTACGGTGGAGTAATTGGATTTCTTTCTGTTATCTTCATAGTTTCTAGAGTATGAGTATCAATTGGAAACGAAAAACACATTGGTAAAACAATAATTTAAAACATATATCTAAGAAGAGAATTCCCACATTTTATATTTATTTTTATAAAATCTTACACAAAAAACAAAATGAGGTATGTGCGTGATGTGTAGCATAAGAAAGGCATGACATAAGGCAGTTCGAAAAAAACCTTTTCTCCAAAATTTAATGCCCATTGGCCGCTAATTTTGGGCCCCACGATTAGCCACGTGTCATTTTCTCGTCGAGGGACCCAGTTCGGTACTCGTATGCTCACACAAACCTAACACCTATTTCTTCTCGCATCTTATATGAAACACATTCACTCTCCAATAATCTCTATACTTTTCCTACATACTCTCTTGAAGATCATGGGACTAATTTCGTGAAAAACAGTCATTTTTTTTTGTTTTAATTTGAAAACCGAGTTGATGGAAAACATGGGGGATTCGAGCATAGGGCCGGGCCATCCGCATCTCCCTCCCGGGTTTCGGTTTCACCCGACTGATGAGGAACTAGTGGTTCATTACCTCAAGAAGAAAGCTGCTTCTGTTCCACTTCCGGTCTCAATCATCGCCGAGATTGATCTTTACAAGTTCGATCCTTGGGAACTTCCAAGTTAATATGATTTTATATATTTTTCCTTACAATTTGTGTTTGGTTGTTTTGATTAAAATGTGATGATTACTTGGTTAAAGGTATTTTGAATGGTTTTAGGCAAAGCGAGTTTTGGAGAGCACGAGTGGTACTTCTTTAGTCCTCGGGATCGGAAGTATCCGAATGGTGTTAGACCAAACCGTGCAGCAACTTCCGGTTATTGGAAAGCAACGGGAACAGATAAACCGATATTTACGTGCAATAGTCACAAGGTTGGTGTCAAGAAAGCGCTAGTGTTTTATGGTGGAAAACCTCCTAAAGGGATCAAAACAGATTGGATCATGCATGAATATCGCCTCACTGATGGTAACCTAAGCACTGCGGCTAAGCAGCCTGACTTAGCCACGACAAGGAAAAACTCACTACGGGTATGTGAAAAAATGATCTAAGCATCTACTTACAAATTTTGGGTCATCAGATTTGCGTCTCCGTATATATATATATCTAATGTGAGTCTCCAAAATAAGGTCCACATATTATCACCAAATGGAAAAGTATTTTGTTGTTGGTAATGAAACGCCAAGCTACTATCTAAATTAACCCTACGTATGTCCGTACAATAATATTTCAACACACTAAAATTTGTAGAATTCAAATTTGTGACATTTTCCACCATTATTACACTACTATTTCAAACTACAATATTGTTTCACGTGAGAAAATCATACCAAAATCTTTTCTTTTTTGGGAACACTCAAGATACTCTCCTGGTTGAATTAATGCGACTGACGTTATTATTATATAGTTTGGTGTGTTGATTTGTACCACAAATCAAATTTTTGCAGCTAGACGATTGGGTTCTATGTAGGATCTATAAGAAGAATAGTTCACAAAGACCAACAATGGAGAGAGTATTACTTAGAGAAGATCTAATGGAAGGAATGCTCTCAAAATCATCTGCTAATTCTTCTTCCACATCAGTCCTAGACAACAGCGACAACAACAATAACAATAACAACAATAACGAAGAACACTTTTTTGACGGTATGGTTGTCTCTTCAGACAAACGGTCCTTGTGTGGTCAATACCGTATGGGTCACGAGGCCTCAGGATCATCTTCATTCGGATCTTTCTTATCGAGCAAGAAGTTTCATCATACAGGTGATTTCAACAATGACAACTACAATGTCTCTTTTGTTTCAATGCTTAGTGAGATTCCTCAGAGTTCGGGGTTTCATGCAAATGGAGTTATGGATACGACGTCGTCTCTAGCTGATCATGGGGTTTTAAGACAGGCGTTTCAGCTTCCTAACATGAACTGGCATTCATAATCTATATTAGATAAATCTGTATGTATCATGTTCATGTATGTATCTATGCACGCCTAATATAGTTTACACATATATCATCTGGGGATATATATATATATATATACAAACACACGATCTTACAAATGTATACGTATATGTTTACGTCAAGAAAGGTGTATACGTCTCTTTTTACTCCATGGTTGCAAATTAAAGATGTGTACTAATAACAGAAGCTGATTTATACAATATATGATAGTATATTTTTTCCCTATATAAGTTAGCATTAAATATGCCACATGTTAATATATAGAATAACATTATGCAAAGTTTGGTTCAATTTTTTATTTTTATTTTCATTTTCCCATAAAGATAATTTACTGTTTAACTATGAAGTTGATTTTCTCACGTAGTATATCTTCCATGTGAATTATTTTAAAGAAAACTTAACGTATATTTCGATGTCGGTTACTAATTGCCAATCGGACAAACAAATATTGAAGCAAACCACTGAAATATCAAATATGCAATTCAAATAGGCAATTACAACAAAGCGGGCTAGAAATTGTTGCAAATTTAGAACCGATCTTCGTCTTCATGATCGAGATTCAATCAATTTATCTCACTATCATTACACTCCATAAACATGTACTAATAAAAAAAACTATGAGAAAAAAATAGATATGAAAATATGGAGAAGAAGAGAAGTGGAAGAAAATGACACACCGGATTTTATGAGTTGAGGTTGGCTAGAAGTATTCCTTGCATTTCTTTAGCTAATCAGATCAATCTTGAAACATCACCATACACTCGATCTATTTATAAGTAGAGGATCAAATGGTCTATTTCTTAGTTGGGTTGTTACAAAATCTCAAAACTGACTCCGTTTAGCTCGATGGACCTTAAACCAATATTTAAACCAAGATTCCATGTTACTCGAACTGTACCCACATTTAAACCAACATTCAAATTAAATTTC